CCTTTTGGGAGTGCGTTGGCACATAGAGCATTCTTATTATCGTTAGGCTTGGTATATAGACTATTTTTTATCAAAAATCTGATTTTTGGAACCCTTTTGCAGCTAAGGTCTATTATACTTTGACCCATTTATTGACCGTATTTACTGTAAATCATAACTACGGAGCAGAGCAACATTTGTTAATAGCGCGAAGCGTGCACGGAGGCGCATCGCTTTGTGGTACTGATGGTACCTGGTGTCATATGACGTCATCACTCAGTCTCATGCTCCAACAAATAACTCTCCAATTAGGAAAATTCTTGGTAGGGTAGCTAAGTCACTTTTTAAGATATTCAAAAAATGTTTTCAGTGTCGTACTTTACTTTACTTAGACTGCCATTTTAAGATAGGGAATTTCCTCGTTCCCCAAATTCACCGTCAAGGCTCCAAACTTTAGCTCTTCTACATTTCAATTACATTGTGTAGTCAACTGTCAAGCTTATCCACTTAACATTGTCGTTCGTCCGGTGAATGGAATTGGTAATTCCTCGATTTATATTCATTGTATAATAGATCTGGCATGCTAGATTGATTAGAGGGGGAAGGAAGTTTGTGATATGAATGAACATAAATATTCTTCCACGCGACCGTCCATTTTTATTCTAGACTGGCTGCGCTGACTATGTCGAGGTATTGATCAATTATTAAAGTGCTGTTCTATAAATAGAAAGCGCTGGGAGACAGTATGCATATAAGATTGTTAATTCAATCACATAATGCAGTCAGGCTACAGTTACATGAAAACACTTCTACATTAGACATTGATTGGCAGGAAGGGCTTCACAGAAGTTACGGTGAAAGGTTATAGACCTGATATGGCGCTCAGATTAGAGAAAATTTATGATTTGTGCACGCATTCACATGATGAGGTTTGCTCGTATGAAGTTTCAACTCAATTTCTCTAGTAGTTGTGTTTGAAAATTTTCGAAAATTACATCTTGGGCGGTATTTTATTAAGATTTATGTGTTTAATAATAAATAATCGACGAATTCAGACTAAGCTGACGGAGCCGGTCAATGATACCTCCTACTGTGTTAGACAGAGCTCAGTAAGCTATAGCTTAGACTAGGCAGTTCTATTTTGGAATATTTAGGCTGAATAGGCACTTTGAATATCCCAGTAAACATGATCATAAAAGGTGAGATGTTCGTCAACTGTTATATATGATCAACTTGTGTGCCCTCAATATAAAGTTTCACATTGCTATTTTGAAGATTGTTATTATCAGAATTAACAGTTATGCTGATCGATTTATATTGCTGAAGTTCAATCCACTGTTTTTAAAGCAAGAAAAAAATAGGACTAGGTATAGAGCCCTGACGCACACTTTTGGATACATCTCGTACAACAGAAACGGAATCACTACGTTTACCATAGTGCGTACTTCTAGAAAGGTAGTCTGAAAGCCAGACGGTGGAAGGAGCTGAAAACACAAAATAATACAGTTTGGCGAGCACTACTTGATGATTTATGCAATTGAATGCTTTACTGGAATGTAGCGTAATAGCTGTAAGTACTAATCCCGCATCCAGTGCATTTAAGTAATCATCGTACACGTCCGATAAGGTAGTGACAGTACTATGATCACTACGGAACGCTGTTGGTACCAAATTATATTTATCACTAATTTGTTTATAAACTATGCGTTCTAAAATTTTAGTTCAGATGAATAAAATACTGATTGGCCGGTAATGGCTCAGAGATTCAGGACAATCAACCTTAGGTAAAGGTAGAGGTAAACTTGAATATTGTCATATCATCAAATTCTTCTTGTTGGATAGATTTGTGTATGGAGGGTGTCGCATTTGGGCTAATTCAAAAGGGGATCATCCAATGTTGTGTTGCGATTCGTTAAGGTGTCGTGGTTAAGGTGTCCGACACAGACTTGTTTTACCAGAATGAGCTTGGCATGTCATCTAAATATGACGCGGCCCTGCTTTATCTCAACAAATGCAAAGACATGCTTATATTTGTGTACTGCAAAATAACTGATCAAATCACTTCGAATACTGTACAATAGAAGAAATCGCAGTTATGACCCTGCGCGATATGCAACGCTTAGTAGCCAGAATCCTCAAAAGACAGGTATTAGAGGATACTGTCTCTATGATGAGTTTAATTTCGGTACAACAAAGTGGAGCAGTCGAAATAAAGGCGCCGATGACGTACAGTATTTCCAGATATTCAAGAAAATGCCCAACTCAACACGCGCATAGTATTGACAATAAGTGGAAGCTAAAATGTGGCAGAAAAACTGCTACAATAGAGCGAATACATCAAGATAGAGAAACCACGAATTTGCACCTTCGGTGCACCACACCCACTTTGGGTACGACGAAAGAGGTGAGCAGGCCGTAGATCAGTCTTTCTCAGAATGGGTGTGAATGCTCCCCTGTGGACGCTGGGAACCTAGCAAGGGCGGCGAAGAACCGAGAAGAAATGGGTGGAGTGATAAATTGATTGGAAGGGAGAAGGTACATGCGACGGCTAATTTGTGTTTCGGTAAATACCTAAAAGTTAAAACTTTCTTTTAATTTCAGGAGATGCTAGGAAGTTCTTGATTCTCAAAGTTGGCGACAGATAAAATCGGTTTGAAAACTTCTGTTATAGACAAATATTTTGCCACCATTCCATACTTCTACTTCCGAGAAGCGATCCGAATGTTCGGAAAACGTTGGACTGTTGGAGTCAAAATGGATTAATTGGAAAAACTAAATCATTCCTTAAATGAAAATCGTACTATTTTATTGCCAGGCCGAGAATATCCTACCCTCGTATCCGTGTTTGTACATTCATTCCTAAAGGCATCCACATGGTTCCAACATAGTCTAAGCCACAATCTAGATCCGTCACTATGCAGCAGTCTCACGTTCACGCATAATCTACATTGTTCGCGCCTGACTAACAATTAAATAACAAAGGTGAACAATACCCTCAAAGTGCTTTGAGATTCCATTAATTAATGTTTGGTGAATATTTTGGAACTTTGGCAACATTAAAACTCTCATTTTTTAAATTGTTTCTTGTGGCCGAGGTTTTTTTTTTGGCACTAGGACATTGCGTCCCATTAGCCAGATCCAATCTTGTATATGTATATATGTAACTATGGACAAACACACGACGTCATAACAGTGGCCGAGGTTGAGAGCGACATTTTTTATATTTTTCCAAATATGTAGTCACTTATACTGACTTTGAAGTTGAGTCATTAATTTTCAGATAATGTTTGTAGAAGGAAGATAAACCAAAATATGTGTGTAAAAATAAAAGAATAAATAAAAAAAAATGTTACCTTGTTTAATAAAGTCTCGTCCCGACAAGTATTTCAGTGCGGACCTGTATTTGATCGTGCGGTCTTGGAGCAGCATGCCCTGACCTGTGAGGTCTTAAGTCACCTGATTCACGAGCCCTTTGTACTACATTAACAAAGGCACGAGGGGTTGGTTGCACTCGATTGGGAAACCGATTCGCATAAATCCGTGATGCATCCGGGAGCATTTTGTAAAGACTGTCCCCCCCCGTAAATAAGAATCATGTCCACAAGTTCAGCATTTTCGTAAACATGTGCCATTTTTGATTTCGTTTGAGCCACGCAACAAACACTACTATTCACTAACGCGTTATCGACTAACGAAAAACATCGTGATAAACGTTTCAAATTCTTTCGCTTTTTTGTTTCCGATGCGATGAACCGGTCAGGCGGATTATATCCGTTGTCGCCAAACACGAACATATAATATTATTATTGAGACAGGGCGGTACTCAAACTTCCAAAGGGCTATAACTTTGTTACTTTAATTTTACCAGAAAAATGGTAAAGGAAAAAAACATTTCTTTTGATCAGATCTACTCACTGTTAAAATAAATGACTCAACTTCGAAGTAGTATTTCGAATACTAAGAACTCTACAGAAACGTTCATAAGATCCTTTTTTGCCGAGAATGATCCAATAAAACTAGGAAACTACGAACTTTTGATGCATTTTTTTGCTTTGCAACATGCAAATTCATTGAAAGGTATCCTCTTTGAATAAGTTAAGCAAAACAACCAAATCAGAGTGTTTTTTCTGAGCAGATGCGAAGATACATTCTGGACTAATAGCGATGACAGCGGATGCAACAGTTCAGCAACTGGATACGTTGGAGTGTCCTTGGTGTGAACTTTTGGTCGACAATTGCATTCGGTGAAGAGGGCCTTGGTAGGGGAACTCAACCTGAATCTCCTTGCAACTCAGAAAAGGAACATTTTTCTTATTCTTTCAAAATGCCAGCAGATGTCATTTTTCCTTACTCCTATAGCACGGAAGGTACAGCGTCGACCTTCTTGTCAGCATTTCGTGATAGATACCAAGAGTGCTCGCCTTGATTGTGCCTACAAAACCAAGTTTAAATATAATTATAGAACTTCCAGGCGAATTCCAAACTTCAACTGCAAATGCAGACCGCAGCTGCAAAACGGGTGTCCGATTCAGAAACTTTTATTCGATTAAAGTTTTAACCCAAGTCCGACAAGTAAGCAACACAACGTAGTGTCAATCAATCTTGCTGTAGCGCTTTCCACATCTCATATCCAGGCACACATTAAATCAGCATTACGTCTTGTTTCATATCACATTAGTCATATGCAGTGCGATTATATTATTCGACTTGTTGGAGGAATTATGTGTCGAAGATATCGTGCGATTTCTGTTACGTTAGTAAGAACACTAAAATTAGGCCCTGGGTTCTTTATAGTATACAATGAATTGGTGTATTGACAATAATTACTTAAAACTATCACCCTCGGCACTGATTCACAAACTGTTGTGAACTAGCATTATTGATGAAATAATTAAACCTAAACGCCAGGCATTAATAGTTTTCAATTGTCAGAGGGACATTAACGGGCAACCATAGCAACACATTTTTACAAACAAATTGATTATGCCCACCATATATATATATATATATATATATATATATGTTATATGCACTCAAAACAATGGACTTACTATTCCATACAATGTTGCACCAGACGCTAGCTCAGCAACAGATAACGACTTCTCGCTAACTCGTTGTTTACGCTTTATTTCCTAGAAGTGCTCTGTAAGCACACCAATAGTATAAATAGGCCTTGCGCCCATTTCATGTCGTTCATTACCCGGCTAGGCACCGTAACAGTCACTTATGTAAACTTTATGTTCAATACCCGGTTAGACTCCGTAAATGTCACATTTGTAAACCTTTGTATTTTATATGGACTGAAGCTTCAGTCCTCAAATAAAATTTTTTAAAAAGTTATTTTTAAATCTAATGATTTAAGAAATTGGTGTCAGAGAAGTGGGATAGCTTCAACGCATTAGAACACGTGCATACTAACTAGTGTGGTGGATGCCTATCCTTTAAGCTGAAAAGGACCAACGAGCCTTAAGAAGAAAGAAACCCATTGAAGAAAGAAAACTACAAGTAAGAAACTACAAAGCAACAAGAAGAAAGAAAACAACAGGGGATACAGCGAGCAGCAGCCACCCAACTGCAGACAGACTACTGGAAACATCGCAAGAGATCCACTAGCCGCCTGGAGAACACGACTGCCTCCCGATGTACCCTTGGTAACGTACAATTTTAATCTAACTATTTTTTGCGATTTATCTCTGTGTGTGTGATTGCTACATCTTTTTATTTGCATTTTTGCGCATTTACTCTATATATTGTCGATTTTCACGTATTTTTCCCCATTTTCACGTATTTTTCTATTTTACATTTATATCTTTTTGCATTTTCCCTTGACATTATTGAATCTTTTTGAAACAACTTTCCATTTAAAATGTCTACTAACGGTTCAGATGATTACCAACCAGCTGAAATTCCTGATAACGTTCATGCGAACATTGAACCTTATAGATTATCTGAAATATTTTCGATTGTACCCGAGTACGATGGAAACCCGATATTGCTATCGACCTTCATCAACGCATGCCCAACGGCATATCAAATGGCCGTCGAGGAGCAGCGGCTTCTCGTCGTTTTACATATTAAAAACAAACTTCGCGGACGTGCCGCCGAACTTGTGAACAGCCGAAACCCTTCCACGTGGGAAGACATACGGTCCCTGTTAGAAACGCACTTTGGAGATCTTAGAGATCTCACATCTTTAATCGCGGATCTTCAACACATGCGCCAACTCCCCAACGAATCACCCCTAACCTTTGCATCTAGAGTGCAGACGCATGCAGCCAAAATGCATTCCGCCGTGAATAGACAAAATCTAAATCGCGAGCAAAAATCTGCTCAAAGTTCCCTCATCGAAACGATGACTTTAAATTGTCTATTAACAGGATTAGACTCAAAAGTAGGACCTGTTGTGCGATCAGGACATCCCACGGATATCTTGACCGCAGTTTCGTATATCAAACGAGAGTTACAACTTTCATATTTGGAACGACAAAAATTCGCCAGGGCCCCAAACCCGAATCAAAATTCAGTTATTCGAAGACCAAACCCTAAAATTTGTAATTTTTGTAATCGTCCCGGTCACTTGGCAAATGAATGCCAACGGAGACAACAGCCTACAAGCTTTGCCCCAATACAGTTTAACCAGCCCCAACCTCAAAATTACCCTAGGCCGAATCAACCTATGCAAGTTAGACCATCTACATCTAACTACCATCAAAATTCTAATCAATATCCTCCCAGACCATCTGTAATACGACCAAATGTGCCTAACTCGAGTGCGCCAAGACCCTCTGTAATTCAGAGCAATCCAAATTTTCAAAACCCTAATTTTCAAAGAAATTTTAGACAAAGTCCTCCCAATCGAATTAATTATGTCGCCCCTGATTCTTACGATTATTCCGACTACGGTGAACCAGACATATACAACACGGACTACGCTAATGAATATGACGATACCCAGTACTCCGCCTACACACCTTCCCCATACGATGATTTTAGAGAACCCAGTAACGATTATTGTTACGAATATAATCAAACCGCCGATACATTTGTTGACAACGCTTATTCGGACATACAACAATTCCAGGATTTTCGGACCAAGTGTTTGAAAGAGAAACCCCCTGCGGAACCCAACGACAGTACCGCAATAGTATGTGCGAACTTAGCGAATCTCAGTGTCGAGGACCCGAACGCGAAACCGTGTGCGAGCGTCAGCAACACATGCGATCAGATGTTCATATAAACCCTCCGTTTATAGTCCCGTCGACAATTCACCCAGTTAGCCCAGACAACTTATATTACATTAAAGATGCTACTGGAAATTTCAAAATTCTCATTGACAGTGGTGCAGGTTGCTCCATTTTCAAACGTAACACTTGTCAAAATTATACTAATCGTGTCGCAGAAAATATCTCTATCCGAGGTATTACTGACGAAAAAATTAGTATTACTGAAGCAGTCTTAGTCCCATTTGCTCCCAATGATTATCACAAAATTTATGTCCATGATCTAGATATTTCATTCGATGGCCTTCTTGGGTCAGATTTTCTTGAACATTATGATTGTATTATTGATTTGAAAAATCGTCAATTGATTACAAATTTCAAAACAGTCCCTCTTTTCAAAGTAGGTGACGAAAATAATTCCAAAGCTTCTCAATTTAAGGAAAAGTCCCAAGCTTCGCAATTTAAAGAAAATTCTCAAGTTCAAAATGTTATTTCCATTCCTCCCAGAGTTGAACAAGTTGTCAAGCTCAAATCCGAGCTTAGAAATACTGAAGCCATTCTTCTGGCGTGTGAGGTAGAAAAAGTCCGTCTACCCAGTTCCATAGTTAAAATTGATTCTAAGGGCGAATTCCTTACTACAGTATTAAACTGTAATGCCATTCCAAAAAATGTAATTTTACCCCAATTAACTTTCGAGCCCTTTAACGAAACTTCTATCAATAATTTCAACACTTCTTTACAAAATCAAAGTCAGTATAACCGTAGAGATGTTATTAGAGATCAATTACGTCTCGATCATCTCAACGAAGAGGAAAAAGATTTAATTACGAATCTTTGTTTAGATTTTTCGGACATATTCTACTTAGATGGTGATAGCCTGTCATTTACAAACGAAATTAAGCATTCCATTGATACCACTACCAGTAAACCAATCTTTACCAAATCCTAGCGATACCCTTATGTCCACAAGCAAGAAGTCAAAGATCAAATTTCAAAATTACTAAAACAAGGTATTATCGAACCTAGCACATCGCCATGGAATTCTGCGGTGTGGGTTGTACCAAAGAAAATGGACGCCTCTGGTAAACAGAAATGGCGTATGGTGATTGACTATCGTAAGCTTAACGAAATCACCATCGATGATAAATATCCCCTGCCAAACATTTCCGATCTACTTGATCAATTAGGGAAATGCCAGTACTTTAGTACACTGGACTTGGCATCTGGATTTCATCAAATCGAGATAAATCCAGTTGATGTTCCTAAAACTGCATTTTCAGTTGAAAACGGACATTACCAATTCTTGAGGATGCCTTTTGGTCTCAAGAACGCTCCTGCCACGTTTCAACGTGTCATGGACAACATCTTGATGGGTATACAAAACGAAAGATGTCTTGTATACATGGATGACATAATTGTCTATTCCCCCTCCATCCAAGAACACATCAGTAGGCTTACCGAAATTTTTACGCGTCTTCGGAAGTCGAATTTCAAAATCCAGCCTGATAAGTGCGAATTCCTCAGAAAGGAAGTAGCCTATCTTGGTCATGTAATAACCCCTGATGGCGTTAAGCCCAATCCAGATAAAGTGGATTGCATAAAAAATTTCCCTCAACCCAAGAATCCTAAAGAAATAAAATCTTTGCCAAAATTGCGAAACCCCTTACCAGACTATTACAGAAGGACGCAGTATTTGACTTTGATAGCGAGTGTGTTAAGTCATTTGATACTTTAAAAAATGCTTTAACAACATCTCCTATACTGATCTACCCCAACTTTGAAGAGCCTTTTGTGCTTACAACAGACGCAAGCGCTTTTGCGATATCTGGCGTTCTTTCCCAAGGTCCCATAGGTAAAGATCTCCCGATAGCCTATGCATCTCGTACACTTTGTAAGTCAGAAACGAGATATTCCACCATTGAAAGAGAACTTCTAGCTATTGTCTGGAGTGTAAAACATTTTAGACCTTATTTGTATGGTCGAAAGTTTAAGCTCGTAACAGACCATAGACCCCTTACGTGGCTTTTCTCTTGCCGAGACACCGGAAGTAGATTAGCAAGATGGCGCCTCAAGCTAGAGGAGTACGACTATGAAATAGTGTACAAGCCAGGCAAGGCTAATAAAAATGCCGATGCCCTATCACGTATCAAATTATCCAAAACTGTTAATGCCCTTACCCATAGTGACGAAGAAGGAGAACCTTCTACCCAATTTTCCGAAAGTGAATTTGATATCTTTGCCCGCCTTTACAAAACCACATCCCTGATCGATTATTCCAAAATTCAATTTTCAAATTCCCAACTCCTAGACAAAAGTCATAAACATATCGTCACGTTTTTCAGACAAAACACTCTATCTGATCTTCACGAAAAAATTATCGAAGACATATTCGAGGAAAATCTTGATTTTTCTGCAGATAAAATTAACATCGCGTCTAGCAAAACAATTAAAGATAGAAAATACTATATTATTCCTGTGCCATACGATCCCGTAACTTGCATACAGCATCTTTTCTCTGTAATTTTAACCAACAAAGGTGTATTCGACCTATCCCAACAAATCTACGTTGAAAATAATTTGGTCTTACCCATTTTAGAAATTTTCTCTTTTATTTTTTCGGATGATAATATCAAACTTGTCGTTTGCCAAAACGTCACCAAAACTCCTAATCCCGATGAAATCCCCGTCATTTTAGATCAATACCATTGTGGTAAGAAAAACATTCATCGAGGAATTAATGAAACAATTAGGCGAATTCGTGAACGATATAATTGGCCCGGCTTAACTAAAGACGTTGAGCATTTCATCAAAAAGTGTGAAATTTGTCAAAAGACCAAAATTTGTCGTAAAAACCTCAGTGCCCCTTTTGTAGTAACTGAAACCCCTAAAGCCCCGTTCGAAAGAATCAACATTGACATTTTGGAAGTCCCACCTAAATGCTACGCTCTCACAATCCGAGACGAGCTAACAAAATTTTCTCAAGCCTATCCAATTAGCGACAAATCTGCAAAATCTGTAGTAAATACTCTACTTTTATATTTCCAACATTATGGTACACCTCTCCGAATACACTGTGATTACGGAAAAGAATTTGACAACGCCCTCATGAAAGACCTTTGTAGTCTTTATGACATTAAATTAACTTTTTCTAGTGTCAGTCATCCCCAGTCCAATGGCTCGATTGAGCGATTTCACGCCACCTTATTGGAAATGATCAGATCCCATGTATCCGAAAATCCCGACGAACATCCCTTCAATATTCTTCCCTATGCTGTTCAGTGCTACAATAGTACTAGAAATAAAACTACTGGCTTTACACCATACGAGCTCGTGTTTGGCCACACCTCTGGTCGTCCGCCCGAACACGTATATTTAGAAAAAGAATTGATGTCCAAGTACGTTCGAGACATTCGGAATAAACTCGAATATTACTACGAAATTGCCCGCGTGAGAACTGACGAACAGAAGCAAAAAGCAAAAATTCGCTTTGATAGTAGAGTGTCACCCAATTTACAATCATATAAAATTGGCGATAAAGTCTTTGCGAAACAGTCTCAAATTTCAAACAAGCTTCAGAACAAATTTGATGGTCCATTCGAAATTACTCAAGTTTTTGAAAATTCTGCGCTCCTTAAGAACCCGGAAACAAATAGAATAAGTAAAGTTAATTTTGACAGACTGAAACCATGTTTTGAGACTTAGTTTCTCTTTCAGGTGCAGTCTGCTGTTTCTTGCGGCTGTCACAGTCCAGATAGACATCAAACCGCTTAACAACACCTTAGGTATCTATTTTCATGAAGACACCCCTCTTAAGATTTCCAACGAAATTTGGACACTCCTTGTATATAAAGACTTAGAACTCATTAAGAAAGCACTTGACGATAACAACAATATTCTGGAACACTTATCATATCTCGTAGACAAACCCACCAATCGTATGAAAATGTTTAGTGGTGAAATTAAAGCTCATACAAGTCTCCTTTATCAAATTTCTCGTTCCTTGGAATCTAAATATTACGCGATCTTCGATGACACTGTAAGCGCATCGCGGATGAAACGCGGTTTGATTAACGCTATAGGTACTGTATGGAAAGCAATAACCGGCAACCTCGATTCATCGGACGGTGAATACTATAACGATTGTATTAACAAAATTTCTAAAGATGAACATGAGCTCGAAAACCTCATGAAGAACCAAATTTCTGTTACCATGTCGGTTATCAAGAATTTTAATAACACTATTCAAAAACTTATGATTGATGAAACTACGTTTAATGAAGATATTAAGGCTATTGAAAACAAAATTTATGAAATTTCAGACGATCTTGCATTTTATGAAGCTAAATTCCAATTTTTAGAAGTTTGCGAACAATTAATGGAAAGCTACATGTTTCTGGAAGAGACAATTAATGATATTCTAAATTCAATTACTTTTGCACGTTTAAAAATAATACATCCTTCTATTATCACTCCTCAAGACTTAGTAAATTCTCTTCAAGAAATTTCTCACACTTTGTCGAGAAATAATTTACCCCTTCCGGTTAATTTAGCAACAGTGTCAGAGTACCTTAACCTTATGGCACTCGAAGCATATCAAACTAAAACAAGAGTAGTATTCGTTCTACGCATCCCGTTATTAGAGCCCGAAATGTATACTTTATACAGAGTGATTCCTCTACCCACTCTCGATAAACGTACTGGTTTGTTTCATGTAGTCTCCACTATACAGAGGTACATTGCTAAAGATAGCGATTCTCTTTTGTACGTTTCCTTTCAAAACTTAGGTAGTTGTAAAGTTCTTCAGTCTCAGGTGAAAATCTGTTTCAACCTCTTGCCGTATCCAATAGACAGTAATGCAGTCTGCGAAGCACAGTTGTTGCGAAATCCGGTCGATCTGCCGACAGCCTGCCAAATAGCAATTGTGGCATTGCAAGATTACACAATCCAAGAACTTGCAACCAATTTTTGGCTAATCACCATATCTAGCCCTCTGCCAATTACGATGAAGTGTGGACAACGAGAGACTACCACCAAAGTAATAAAAGTTAATTCACTTTTAAAAATGCAGCCCGAATGCAGTGGCTTTGTAGGCACCACGAGATTACATTCTAGATATTCTGTTAGCACCTACAAGAATATCACATACAAAAGTCACCCTGTAGAAGTACCCTACAAATGCTGTGAACATCTCCCAGAGAAACAAAATTTACCAAAATTAAAACCGATCAAGCTAAGCAAGATCGATACTGAAGAACTCGAAATTGCCAATCACAAATTAAACCAATATTCTGAACAACTGGACAAAATTATGAACGAGCCGTTTGTTTCGAGACATCTCTCATGGTTCACGTATTTTGTCATCACCCTGTTAGTTATCATCGTAGCTTTGTACCTGTTCTGCAAGTGCAGAAAACGAAGACCACTCAGCATCTGCGCATCAAATTATCCAGCCGATGGCCCATCTCCAGGAGCACCAAAAGTCCGGTACATTCCCAGACTTTTTCCTCGACGTAGACCAACCATCCAGCCACATGAACAAGACATCGAACTGCAGTGAGTGTTCCGTGAAGTGTTTTCGCTGTTCAAAAAAAAACCCATTTTCAATTTTCGTGTTATCTTCCATGTAATTTTGCCCGTACGACTGTACGATTGTATCTTATTATTTGTTTGTTCCAGCTTTGCTTTTAGATGTTATTTTGCATCGCCAATGTACCGCATTTATGCTAACAATTTTATTTTTCAGAATCTATATTTTCTGATGTTATTTTGCAATTTTATTACTCCTACTTTTATATTTTTATATTTTACAATGTTTACAATTTACATTTCTACATTTTTACATTTTTGAATTTTTACATCTTTTACACTTTTCTAATTTTGTCAAAAGTTGTCGCATGGCAACAACTTTTTGTAATAGGGGGAAGTTGTTATATGCACTCAAAACAATGGACTTACTATTCCATACAATGTTGCACCAGACGCTAGCTCAGCAACAGATAACGACTTCTCGCTAACTCGTTGTTTACGCTTTATTTCCTAGAAGTGCTCTGTAAGCACACCAATAGTATAAATAGGCCTTGCGCCCATTTCATGTCGTTCATTACCCGGCTAGGCACCGTAACAGTCACTTATGTAAACTTTATGTTCAATACCCGGTTAGACTCCGTAAATGTCACATTTGTAAACCTTTGTATTTTATATGGACTGAAGCTTCAGTCCTCAAATAAAATTTTTTAAAAAGTTATTTCTAAATCTAATGATTTAAGATATATGTATCATGAATGCTAGAATATGTTATTAACTCAAGGACTGCTAAGAATAAGCTAAATAAACTCAGAAGATAGACACCTGAAACGCATAGCTTATTTACTCGACACAAACGCAGTGGTAGATTTTAAACTAACTCTGACTGGCAATTCTTTAAGACCACCATTTTATAGTCTGCCAATACCCCTGTTAAGAAATTCTCGCAGCTGAATTTAAAAGTCTCAAACATTTAGTGGTAATAAATCCTTGCACTGATTGTGCTTCCTGAAAGCTGTTTCTTGTAATCTTTATCTGTTTTCGAAAAAATTGCAACAGCGACAGATCATAATAACTGCGTTCCAAGACTAGCAATATAAGTATTCGAAGCATACTATTTAGGAATTTCATCTGATGTAAGCATACTCATAATTGATTTGCAAGTTGAAGTGGGTATTAAGAAGAAGGAAGTCTTTGTTTTAAATTTGGACTGCTTGGTATGCTTCTCTTTAATAGCTTTATTGCTAAATACACTCTTGTACCTTAGACTGATTTGCCTTCCACCCTAATACCCATACATCCCCTTCCTTGATGGAGCATTATCGTAAAGTTCGTCGATTTGCTAAATTCTCAAAGTTTGAATTATTCGAGAAAGTTTCCAGTTTATCGTTAGTTTGATACTTTAACTGACTTTTTAAACTTTGGAAATGTTATTGATGGAAGCAGGCTTTGCGAATTGAGTTCGTTAAGTCGGCGTTTATTGGTAATCGCGAACACGACCAGGGTGCAGAACTGCAAGGGAAGAGCCGCACATATCGGCTTTGGTAATTACGAATTGATAGAGCGGTGGTCGGAGGACGAAATCAACTCCGTTTTGAAGGTTTTAAAGCAATTATTGGAGTTCATGGCCCAGGGATTAAAGTGTATCAACAGAAGAGCCGCTAATGGTCACTCGGAGTTCGCCAATTTGTTAGGAGAGGAAAAAGAGCAGTTATAGTGATTGTCAATCCATTAACGCAGCTCTGCACATTTAACTTAGAAATGTCAGCAGCTGAATACTTACTAGCGATCGATTTTACATCACATCATAGTCACACATTGGTAACTGAGCCTCATGACGTTCTGGCAACACGTACCACTACAAAACGAGTTCACAACGTGTCCATCAGTTAGTGCTGAGTTAACATCTTGTAGAAAAACCTACATAATGTAAAAAAACAATATAAAGTCAAAATAAAAATCGTTACTTTTCAAGAAATGGAGTAAAAATAAACACTCTCTATACATATGGAAACCATGAGGAGTCCCCTGTGCACATTTGCCTGCTTGGTGCACTTGCTCCATATCTTAAACTTTGGGCGTACTTATTGGGCATTCAGAGAGAACGCAAGTGCGACTTGTAAAAATCGGATTGGTGATAAATACACATGCACTAAAGCAAAAAAAAATGTATTCTACTTAGCAAAGAAACCATAACAGACCGAAAACAGCTTTGAATATTCGTCCAGTGGTAGTGAAGGTATGAACCAAGAACGAACATACTCAGATCATCCCCATTCTTCATTTTAAGTGTGTTTACTTCCCACATACACTAGCGAAGAAGTTTTGTAATCGCAAAAAAAATGAAGATGATACGAGGGATGTCTTTTAAGTTTTGCATATAGAAACATAGTAGGCCGCGCGGATCGAACGTCAGTACTGAATCTTAACCTCACTCTTTAGTAAACTTAAATTCAAAGTTTCACAACAATACATGCAGTGTTCTCACTACAGTGAGTTTTTAAGTGTCACCAAGTAATTAGAAAAATGAAACTCAACCGAGAACATTTTCGCGCCATAATGTATTACAACTCTCAGATACAATTATCGCAACGAGAATGCCTTGATGAGTTACTGTCTGTTTTCGGCAACAAAGCGCCACATCAGTCGACAATTTCCCGTTGGTATGGAGAATTCAAACGTCGACCGGTGAGTCTTAGCGACGATTCCAGGGTGGGTGCACCAAAACCGGCAGTCACCCAGGAAAACGTCGATGCTGTGCGCAAACTCATCATTGAAGATAGACATGTGACATATCGCGAGATTAAGGCGTCTCAAAGACCTCAATTCAAAAATTTTACATGAAGAATTAGGAGTAAGAAAACTAGTTTCTCGTTGGATACCCGACCTGTTGACTGAAGAGCAGAAAGCAGCCAGGGTTAATTTGTGTCAAAAAACGCTTGTCCCTTTCAATTCCGGAAACTCAAAGAATGTATACAGCATTGTTAGTGGTGATGAATCGTGGATTTACTGTTATGAACCAGAAAATAAACGATAGTCGGCTATTTGGGTGTTTCAAGGTGAAGAAAAGCCAACAAAAGACATCCGTTCTCGAAGTGTTTCGAAAAAGATGGTCGCGACATTTGCGTCAAAATCGGGTCATATTGCAATAATTCCTCTTAATGAGTAAGTAACTCTTACTGTGGATTGGTATACCACTATTTTTTTGCCAAAAGTCATCGCCGAGCTTCGAAAAATCAACCCCGAAAAAAGAATCATCCTCCACCAAGACAATGCAAGCTCGCACACAGCCCAAAAAACAAGGCAGTATTTAACGGAAGAAAACGTGGAATTATTGGACAATCCTCCACATAGTCCCGACCTAGCTCCTAACGATTTCTTTACTTTCCCTAAAATTAAAAACAGACTGCGTGGTGAAAGGTTCCAGTCACCAGAAGAAGTAGTTGACGCATTCAAAAATGCCGTTTTGGATCTGCCAGCAAACGAGTGGAATAAGTGCTTCGAAAATTGGTTCGAAATACAATAAAGTCATTTAAAACTACCTACCGTGTTGTTTTATTTCGATATGCAAAACATAAAAGACATCCCTCGTATATTGTGATTTTTGCATGTTATATGGTATGAAAAATCATGCTACTCATTTCTGCCTGACTGACAATCGATCTGTCTGTCCGCTAATCCTTTGCCAGTCAATTATTAAAAAGTACTGCTCGTATTTGAATGCAATTTCTGCTCAAGGTTTCTACTATTCCAAGGATAAAAAAGCCTTGTTGTTATTGGAAATCAGTCCAGTGGTGGAGCAGAAAAATGCTAAACAACAAAAAAAAATAAGTCGCTCAAAGTTCGGTATTTGATGTTTCAGAGGACACTGGGAAATTGGGAGTTAGGGGATGTAGCGGGGTGGAGAGAATCTATCGCAATGTTTTGATGTTAGTATATCAATACTCTACCGACCTTAGTAATTCTTCGCACCTATTAGACATATTTCAAACATCTTAGATTCCCCGGTACATTTGCCCATACAAATATTTTCAGCAGATGGATCGATCACCTATCGGTCGCACTTGCCATGCAGGTGAAGCTTGGAGTGTAATTTAACGGGAATACTTGATTTCGTGTGGTAATATTAATGGCATAGTGAACGTAGTATATAAGTGCGTATTGAGAGATATTATAATGGGTTATCAAACATTGTCGACAAAAATTTTTATATAAGAGCTCCAAAGAAACGTGTTCGGACACGCGATTTGTAGGGTGATCCATCTGTTGGTTAATTTTTAAAATGAGAACGCAGAGTTCTTTTTTCAAACGAGTTATTTTATTTCAGAGCACTATCCTTCCGGTTAAGGATGAATACAATCTCGTGCATATGCGCACCCCGGCTGAGCTTGACAAAGCCGATTCTGTAAACTCAATTTTTCAGCACATTTTCCAAAGTCTGCTTCATTATCTCACCAATGTCTGCACGAATGTTGTTGTTCAAGTGCTCAATCGTCGCTGGGGTATCAGCATAGCATATTCACCCTCCACGCTACTCCACAAAAAATAATCCAACGGAGTTAAATCGCAGCTTCGCGCTGGCCAAGTCACATCACCAAAATGCTGATTATCCGATTTTCGAAACATTCTTGAAGAAGAGCGACTGTTTCGCGGCTTGTGTGGCACGTCGCGCCGTGGACGTGGTACATTTTACATTTTGTTCTGCAAGAGACTCATCACATCGGATGTAAATGTTGAGCACTTCCCAACGTTGATCAAGCGTACGTCGATCCATATTCGTTTACCGCATACCCTCTACTAAATTCCTGTCAAAACAGAACTGATGTAAGTGTTTCCAGTCATGAGATAATCTCTATTTCAAAAAAAACACTAAATACAATTTCATGACCTTTTTTTCATGAAAAGCCCAAATAGTGCATTACTGGTCCTGGCGGCTGATGCCATTGCACTACATGTAGCACTGTATCAGAACTTGTTTGGAAGACGTAAGTAGTATAGATCTACTTAACTCCATTATTTTTTTGTTCCAGAACGGTGCGCACCAAGTACGGTGACGTAAGCGGCGTGATAGTGTCCCCCGACTCGAAGCATCTGGAGTCGGTTGAAGTGTTCCGCGGAGTGCCATACGCCATGCCCCCGTTGGGCAGCCTGCGGTTCATGCCCCCAGTGACAGGCGCCCTTTGGCAGGGCGTCAAAATGGCCGACAAGTTCGGGCCGGTCTGCCCGCAACGGCTGCCCAACATCGCTAATGAGACTGCCGCTCTTAAGAGGATGTCCAAAGGCAGGCTGGAGTACCTGAAGAGATTGTTGCCGCAGTTGATCAACCAAAGCGAAGATTGCCTGTATTTGAATATCTACGCTCCAATACAAGGTAGGGTCAATACAATTTCTTATCTAAGGTACAATTCCGTATGAGGTATACAGTAGTTGGGAAGATTCTTTACCACTCTATGAAATGATACATAAATGGAAAGGTAACTTCGTGAACAAAGAAACTGATATTTATTTATAAACTCATAATAGTATGGTGAAGCTTAGCTATATTAGCTACTCTACCACTTAACCATAATACAACGGAGATCACATAAGCCATTAGGATAACAAAATGAATCAGGTAACTGAGATAAATGCATTGAAAAGGAGTAAATATAGAATTTAAACATATAGAAAGAATAGAACCAATAGAACGGACCTATTATGAACGAGATATTATTCGAAAAACCGAATTTATCATTCAATGTGCTGAGCTCATGAAGTCCAACTTGAGTGTCTTCTTGAAACTCTGCGAATTTAAGGTTTAATACCCAGCTGGTAAATAATTGTATAACTCAACCGCACTATAAGTAAAGAACTTCGCAAAAAGTAAAGTATTGGAAAGTAGATCATTGCGCCGCAGATTATGAGTAATTTGATTACCACGAGGAATCAACTTATCGCGTAAATAAACCGGTTAGCCAGTCTTGAAAATTCTATGCACCAATGAAACCATGGAATATTTTTTCTTTGTTCTGTTATTGGCATTGGTCGACGACCAAGAGGCCAAATCCTTATATTCAGTATCGTGCTCTAGTAGAAAATAGAACATACATTACTTAGTATTACCACTATACTATTTTTATTATAGTTACATAGAGTAAGCGAACACATTTACGTTGCTGTTTGTTTTTTGCAGGTTTGCTTCAACCACTACGTTTTATTTATTTTTTGCTTTTTTTCACTTTGTTTTCAGGATGGTTTATTTCTTTTGCTTCTTTTTTTTATTTTTGATTTTAATATAT